AAACTGCATTGTTCTCAGCACTACTTTCTTCCAGGAGCCTACTAGAATGGCCTGTTAAGCTCTGCTTACAGCAATCAACTGCTTTTCTAGGCACGTTTCTTCAAAACCCCACATGGTCAGGTTCTTCACAGCCAACAGCATACTCTGGTACCAATTACTGTATTAGTTACTTTTCTGTAGCTGTGATAGAAACACTGACCAATGCAATTTATAGAAGGAAGGGTTATTTGAGCTTGCCGTTTCAGGGGAGTTACAGTCAGTCCATCATGGCAGGGAGGCTTGGCAGCAGAGGTGGCTGGAGGAGAAGCAGAAGCTAAGCTCTACATCTTACAGCAGGCACAGGAAACAAGAGAGCAACTGCAGATCCAGCAAGGCTCAAGAACTCTTGTTGCCCGAGTTCTCTTAGGGTCTCTTGCTCCTGACACTATTAGACAAACCACATAACACATCTTTATCTGAATTTTACATAGTTTACATCCTGGGTAGGGGAAATAGAGTAACTTACAAAGGCGAATGCTCCACAAGGCGAACACCTGGCACCTTGTTCCGCTCTGTGGCTCAGCAGCCCACAGTTGAGATCATTTCTGCTCCCCGCCCAGTCTCAGTGAGCTTTTTTTCCTCACCGTTGCTTCTGTCCAAGATGGCCACATTGCTCCTCCATCTGTGGCTGACTCTCTGCAGCCAATTCTACAAAGCAGGCCCTGCCCCTCAGAGGAAAAAGTATTCCTCAGGACACACTCTCCTAGCCCACCCCAAGTGACGTGCTTCCTCTAGGATAGCCATACCTTCTAAGACCTCCCCAAACAGTGCCACCATTTGGGCTGTAAAATGTCCAAACACTTGGAGCTTATGGGGGACATTTCCACTCAAGCCACCATAGGGATGAGGATGCCTGATGTGTTTCTTTCATGTTCTTGATTATCCTGGATATCCTGGCTTCTTTGTTGATTTATTACAATTTTTAAGATCATTTTTCAATTTTTGTGATAATTGTATTGAAAGTTTGGTATGGGTTTCATTGAATTTATAGATTTCTTTTGGTAAGGTTGCCATCTCTACAATATTAATCCTATGAATTCATGAGCACAAGAGATCTTTCCATCTACTGGTATCCATTTTTAATTTTTTTCCTCCAGTGTCTTAAAGATTTCATTATACTCAAGAGTTTCACTTCCTAGTTCTGCTTGACCTGTGTC